TGACAGCAGGATTATGTCTATGAATATGAGTTTAGTATGCTGGTCCAGAAAATAAATATTTCTGGAGCAGCTCTAGTCCTGAACAGGTCTTAAATTAGATATGCTAAAATGATACTACTCACCATTCAGAAATTATATTAGTGGTTCATAATTATTAATGATGTTATTCATTAATTCTAAGTATGATTATTAATAATAGTACATGTACAGTTTTGGTCTCTGTGATTCAAAAAGTAAATTTTCGCCTTAGAATGAGTTAAAAACAAAGCAGACAGATTAATTATTGGTCTTCAAATAAATAAATGACTGACCACAATGATCCATGACCATATATCTCCACACTTACTGTGACACTTTGATAAGGGACAGAATATAAAAATCCTTAAATGGAAATGACTACGTTTTAAATGAACCCTCAAATCTTTGCTTAATAGAGAGCTGCTAATTAAATCAAAAGTCACCGCAATTCATTTGCAGCCGTGCATTGCCAAAAAAAACCGTTGCTGTCCAAACCAGACAGAAATATCTGTCACTCTTTACTATTTTACTTGGAGATTTTTAGTGGGATATATTTTTTACTCACTCTGATGTTTGATGGTATAGGCCTTATTATAGAGCTGTTTTCTGCACTTTTCAAAAAATAGTTGTTATTTACTTATACTAAAATTAAGCCCATCCATATATTTTTAACTCCTATCCATGAACAAAGATTTTCACTGAATTGTTTTTTTTTCTCTTAGAAGAGTTTTTGGATATCATATATCCACTAGAATATTCATTACACTGAGAGTGACCCAATGATCTGTCATTGTAGTTAATTGCGTGATTTTTCAGAAATACTGCACTGAATTTTATAATATAATTAAACCAAGATAAGCACTACAATAATGCAGGGAAGAGAAATTTGAGTTATAAAGAATGTGAAAGGCATAAGGCCATAAAGAGGTAAATGGCAATCCTATTACAAAAGTACATTAACTGTGACTTGAAGGAAAGAAGAGGGACAAGCAGGTACACTTTATCTGCCAGTAAAATCATTCCTTTAACCTCAATTATGAAAAGTGCAGTGACATGAGATACACAGCACTGTACCCCCTGTCTGGCTAAAATTGCAGGATAGCATCAGAAAACTGGGCAGTTAACCATGATGCAGGGTAAAGATTATTGCAATGTACTGTATAGCAGATCATGGCTGAAAACCTTTACTGTCCTTTGGGATTGCAGAAAACAAACAATATTGAAGGTCATGGTTAATAATATGGACACAGTTTCCACATGCCTGTTCATGCCTAATCCATAATTTTCCAAATCTATTTCATTATCCACAGCAATACAGGGCTGCTTTATTGACACATAACAGTTTGGACCATTATTGCGTTTTATGTTATGCTTGATTTTTTTTAATGTAGTCTCTTCCACTCCAACAAAGACCCAGATTAAAGTGTTCAGCACAGGTTTATTATTAATCAGATTGGTTGGTTATAGGCTAGACTTGGGTATCAGCATGTCATCTGTGAATTTGATTCAGACATTGACAGTCATTTTCTCGTCTGTGTGTGTGCAGGCAGCACATCACCTTCTCTTTCTGAAGAGCTTACACAGTAGCTGGGTGAAATTTAAACTGCTATCCCACAGGATTTTGATTCTAGACATAATGAGCCAATGCTGCTTGGCCAACATCATGCTGTTGTGAAGAAATAATTCAGAGAGCTCATCTGGAACAAAAACAGCTGGCATTGAGGTCCCAAGAAATCTCTGTCCCAAGTGATATTGTGAAGATACTTGGCTATAGTCCTCGTGAATGAGGCAGCTTTGGTTACAACATTATCTGGGCATGTCTTATCCTAAATTAATGAGGTAAATTAATTTAATATGTTAATGACATATGTCTCTTACCATTCACAAATGAAGGCAGAAAATGACCTCTCTCAGGGATAGAATGCATTGATAAACACTAGTGCATTTTCTGAATCTGAGAAAACTGTGTGCTAGGAAAATCTGTGTATTACAATCCACTTTTTCACAGGTCTCTAATTGTTTTGATGGATAATAGCCTTTTGGTGGTATTTATGGAATGATTACTAACTGCCCTTTATAAGCTCAACCTTATGTCAGTGGCAGAGTGTAAATGGCTGGGTTTTTTTTTAGAATTAAAGGAGGTAGCCAGTAACATTTTGCCATTTGCTTCTGGGTTTCCTGTTTTTGACAACCTTGCTCTGCCCTTCTTTGGGCAGACAAAAGATCAGAAAGTGCCCATCTGAGATTTCTATATCTGCAGTAAGGTCAAGCTAGAAAACAGGAAACTGCAAGCATTCTAGCTATCACAAAATGAAGATTGCCACTCTTATCTTATATTCTCTGGCTATTTGATGACTAGCAGCAAGTCCAGGGAAATAAAAGTGTATTGCTTCTGTAAAATTGGCCCTGAAGTGAGTGTGTGTGTCTGTGTGTGCCGTGCGATAGACTAGCCTCCTATCCAGGGTGCCCATTGCGCCTATTGCTTGCCAGGCTAGCCTCTTACTACCCTGAGACCCTGTTCTGGATAAAGTGGTTCAGAAAATGAATGAATGGAACTTAAGGTATGAGTGTCCAGCTGTGATCTTCGAGAGCTAAGGAGTGTTGGCAGCTTTTCAGTTTTTCTAAACTATCGAATTGAACGCACCTGCTTAAGAGGTCCAAACAAAATTGTTTAAAGTGTTTTAGAAATTGGTGATTTAAGGGTGATCAGGTATCAGTAATGAATCAAGCATGGATTGATCATCAGGATATAATATCAAATGATAAAGGCATCCCTGATGTCAGAATGTTGATTCGATAAAAATGTAAGTACATGGAGTAAAGAGTGCACAACTTCACCAGAGTTTAATTATTTTTGCTTTAAGGCAGACTCATACAATCTGCTGGATTGTGGCTATCCTGAACCAGGATTGGACAACTCTGCTCTGCCTGTTCCTTGCAGGTGAGATGCTGAGCTGCTCTCCACACTTTCCTCCATATATAGTTACACCAGTGTGATTCAGAGAACACACTGTGATGAGCAGCACCTGCCTGAACTAAACCATCATGTTCACACCAGCACAGTTGTATACACATCAGGGTTTCTGAATAAATCTCTCCTTCTTTCCAGTACAGTATTTTCGTTTTGTCCTAGAGATGAATGGGAAGACAGCATCAAATATTTCCCAAACTTATCTGTATTTCACTGCCTCGTGTCTCCACCCCACACACCATGCTAGATGAGCTGTAGCTCTATAAATAGGACTGGTGCCATATATCGATGTGAGCTATTCTGAGAAATCAAGGCGGCTTATGTTAGTGCTTTAAAAATGACTCTTTATCTGCAGCAATAATAAAACAGCGTAAGTATAAAAAGAGATACGCACCCAAATGCATTACTTTTCCCAAGGGAAACATCAAAGTGAAACGCAAATGAGATCATAGAAAGAATGGTATTACATCGTTGCTTCTGCCTGACTGTGTGTTTTGGAAGTACTTTAAAAAATAGATCTATTTAAGCTGTCAAGGAGATGATGTTTTTCACAAAATAAACCCCTAATGAATGTTACTTTAAGGAGTATAATACAACTGGGGTTCATGTCTAAAACTATGGCGTAGAAATCTCTGTTTACAGGACCCTTAGGATACTCTGTTGCAAACATTTTTCAACTTTAACTGGTCATAAAGTGACAAAAATACCAGTTTGAGTTTAGAAGAAGAATTATTTCTCCAAGAATTGTTTTTCATATAACTTAAACCAGAAACATAACCTTGCCGTTCACCTAATTTGATCGTGTCCTTGAACTTTTTCAGGGTCATACAATGTCATTCATCTTTCCTGTCAGTGACACACATCTTTAACTTTAAAGAGTTTACAGTGTTTTCCTCTTGGCTTGTTCTACATCCAGCCCTTTTGATGTCCTTTTACCATATATATATACAGTATCTCAGTCATGAATTCTTCAAATGCTGTTTTATGTCTCTAGGTTTTTGAAATCAAAGAAACGAGTGTCCTTTCTTGTGTTACCTACTGTATATCTGATTGAACCCCGAGTATAATCACGCAATAAGGGAAAAATCAAAATAGCTTGACAGTGATGTTTTTTTCCTTTGTTGATACTGACTGCAGTCTCTAACTGAAAGGAACTTTGCTTTATAACACTTTTAGCAACACAAAGGACAAAGGACATAAAATTCAAAGGTATACCTTCAGGTGCATTTAAAAGAAACCAGGATATAATTCCCATAACGTTCTTCAGAGGTGTTTGTTGAATTCGTTGAGCGGTTTACTGTTTAACTACACTCTTTCTATTCCTAATAATTGGAAAGGTATGTAAAGTAGGTGATGACTTTTTTCACCCAGGTTGGCCATTTGTGTGTCAAAGATGTTTGCAGAGAAACTAGCTTTCGATAGCTTTGGTGTGCAATTTGCATTTGGCAACCTGAAATAGTAAATTCAACTATACAAATACTTCCTCTTTCAATTCGGAAAAAAGAGAGGCTTGGACCTGTAATGAATTGCATTTATCTATATTTTCGCCTGCATAAAGCCGCTTATTGGATCAGCAGTGACACGCAACTACTGAAATATCCTTCTGTCTGTATATTGTGATCTGAACCTCACATTTAGTGCCCCAGTTAAATACCGTACATTTTGCAGAACTCCCCCCACTTAATGCCCTTGTTGCTTTAGGACTTTTGACAGCGATATGTTTACAATTCAGAGATTTTTAGCAGTATTAACGCTAAATCCCTTAGCATACGTTCCGACTGTTCAATTGCGACATTAATTCCCTAATTACAATTCGTGGTGGCAGTAACTGGCTTTGTGCGCCGCGCCATCCACCAGAACCGAATGCGGTTTTCCAACAAGTTATTTTCTGTCGGCTGGGAAAATAAGATTGCAAAGACTTGCTACTCTCCGCAACCATAAAAAGCCAGACCTGCCCCTTTAAGAGCGCAGCGGCCCTAGTGGTGATTAATGAGTCTCGGATTCCCTGGAGACTCCACGGAGAAGAGAATGAAATAGTACTTCAAACCAAGATCATGGCGGCTCCGCTCGGGCGGGATACTTTACCTGAACACTGGTCTTATGGAGTTTGCAAAGACGGAAGGGTGTTTTTCATTAAGTAAGCGTGCACTTTTCTTCTGCCTGGAAGCTATACGAGGAGTCGCTGCACAGATTGCTTTGGACAGTTGCTCTTGGACTTCTTTGTTCCGTAACAGGTGTTTTGTTTTTTCTTTCCCCTACAGTGATGAAACTCGAAGCACGACTTGGCTTCATCCTCGAACTGGTGAACCTGTCAATTCGGGGCATATGATACGATCAGGTATGTTGTGTTAAAAGTCAGAAACCTGGCTTTTTTTTTAAATCAGGATTGGGCTTTTCCCAAGAGTGATAGAATTCCAGAATGTACCTTTTCGAAACCAAAAGAAACAAAAGTTCGCCGACGCGTAAAAGCAATTTTCTGTTTTGGGTCTTTTCTATCTCCAGATCTCCCGCGAGGATGGGAAGAAGGGTTTACAGAAGAAGGGGCCAGTTATTTTATAAAGTGAGTGTACTTTCTCATCTTGCGCAAGTTTTGGGAATTTCAATTTTATGCAGTCGCTAATCAGAGCTGTGAAGCCCCTGTTCGATTAGCGACTGCATATGTTTTTGCAACCTGTTGCATTCAAGATGTTTTCAAGTTACAGCTCAGGCTTCAAATCAGTTACCTAGAAGGTGTTAGCGTAATGAATGAGAGTTAAAGATGGGGGGGTCCTCCTGGTTATATCTGACTTTCACTTTCTGTAGTTTGTGGAATAGTATTGTCTTGTACTTTGCGACCGCAATTCAAGTGCGTGATCATGAAGGGCTATAAGGAGAAAGCGCAAGTTTGCTTGTCGGCCGTGTTAAACACAAGGGGTGAACTGTGGTTCAAAGTCTAGATTTATCACTCCTTTGCTCACCCATACCAACGCAACTAGTTCCCGTATCAAGCTTGTAGTTTGGGCTGTGGTGGCATTGTGCAGTACAGTCGTCTTCATTGGGGAGTTCTTTCTGTATAAAATTGTGCAGGGGAGTTAGAATAGACTGGACAGTTCCCTGTGTCGGATACAAATGCTGTTAAAACGTTGGATACATTTGATGTTGGTTACGCGGCAGAAAGTTACATTTGCCTGCTCTGAGGTAATACATTTAAAAAACTTGGACTTTTTAGTTTTTCTGAGTATAGCGTATGAAAACAACAATGTAGCAGCTCGGCGCAAGTATTTATAAACATGAATACTAACAAACAGCTAGGTACAGCTTATTAAAAAAGCGTTTGTGACTTTTTCTAACTAGTTATTATTTGTATATTTAGTAAAATAAATGAATGCGTTGTCAACTGTTAGACAATGTTTATTTGCCTATAGCCATTCCGTTTAACCCTGATGTGAAGTTCAACAACGCCTTTAGTTGGGACACAAAAACAAGTGTGTATGGAACTGCAGAAATGTAGTTTAAGAAGTCCTTGATTCGTGCTATCATGACGATTTCCTGGCTATCTGAAACGGAGGAATGCAGTGCAATTATTATGAATATTATGAATACTGACTAAATAATTAGTATGCACTATTGCGCAAGATACTGTCTGGATTGAGTGAACTCGGGACCCATAGATATTTTAATTTCATTAGCAAACACTAACCTGTTGCGACACATATTTCATTCTTGGGGGAAAAAAGCTTTCTGATATACAGGACATTTGGGTATAAAAATAGCACCCGGCTCTGAGCACTTAGTTTTCATTGCAGGGAATAATACAGTTAACAGAAAAGTGAAGCCGACTAGAAAGTTTTGAATTAATTACACACTGAGGGAATTTATGTGATGTGAGATGCAAGCTGTCGACAGACACTGTGCCCATGATGTACAGTAAAAAAAAAAAAAACTACTCCTTGCTTCTGTAGCTCTGTTTTCCTTTGAGATTTTTTCATTATACCGTTGCTGACAATTGTAACAGTGCAAATGACGCTGCATTTTTTTATTCCACATATTGCTAAAAATGTCTTTTTTTTCCTTAGCTGTTATAAAATGAGAAATCGGATTTACCCGAGTGAAGTGAATACTTTTATTTGTTCTTCATACAGAACAGGCACCGTAGAAAAATCCACAAATAAACAGAGGATGTTTTTCTGTGTTTGTTCTTCTCTGGGGGCTGATGAATTTTTACAGAGGTAAATATTTGTTGTGGGTCATTTGAAACAAGTGCTGGATCCGAATGAGACAGCTGTGAAGTGCCATACACCAGAAACAATTTCTCGTCTTCAGCATTGTTCGAGTCCATTAGCAGTGTTAACAGTACAGTTCATCTGGAACAGTACCAAGTTTTAAGCTACTGTAGAAGCAAGTTTTAATTGGCAGAATGAATATTTGTGGTTCAATGGCTTGTTCAGGTTATTTGAATTTGTTTGGTAGTGTATTGGGTGGCACAGTAATGCAGGGGGTAGCATTGCTCTGGGCTCAATTTCTGACCTGGGTACGATCAGCGTCTATGTTCTCCCTCTGTTCACGTGGTTTTCTTCTGGGTGCTCCAGTTTCCTCCCACAGTCCAACAGCAGACAGGTAGCTTCATTGGCTTCTGGGAAAATTGGCCCTGTGTCTGTGTGCCCTGCGATGGACTGGCATGCTGTCTAGGGTGTACCTTGTGTTGCACCCATTGTTCGCTGGGATAGGTACTGGCTTCCCTGCAATCCTGGGTTGTAGTGCATTAATGTGGTATGTCTTTGTTCTGCAAAACAGGTCTTTGCACTGATAGTCTGACAAAGACATGCTGGTACGTCTGACTTTATTGAAAGTAATGCTGTTTGTTTGTTTTAACTCCATGTTTCCCCATAGTCTAGGAATGACTGGGTTATGCCATTAGTAAGTGACTGTTCCATTCACAGGGCTTGCTAAAATGATGGTGCACCATTGGTTTGATGATGGTGCACCTGTGAGTTTGCAGTGATGTTACTGTCCGTTGTGTTACTCTTCCAAACAGTGCTGGCTCTGGTGTTGGTACTGAGGGACTCCCAGCTTGAAAAATGGGAGATGTCTTTGTTGAGCACGTTTATTGGAGGGAAGCTCACGCGTTCCCCTGAGCCCGTATGAGGGCTGTAACAGTAAAGTTACTAGTTCAAGCTGTCTGTGTATATATAATTTGCTAAAGGGTGGTGTAAGGTCTGTTTAGAGTGTAATTAAATGCAGGCATTCATACACAGAGGCAATAGAAAGATCCATAGACTCAGAGTGACAGTGAGTGCTGTTGGTTCTGAACCTGCCCGACTAAGAAAATCAAGAAAGGGCTGTATCGTGCAGTCATTAACCTGGGGTGAGGGCGACAGGGTAATCATGACAAGCACGTCCCAGGCAAACTGGCTGGGGTCTAGATAAGTGAAAGGAGATGCATGGTTTGCACTCCCAGTCGGAGATGGAGTTGGTACGCTCTGTTGGGAAGGGAGATGGACAGAGGAACTTTGGCTGCTGGTTCAGGCTGAGGGAATCTTGTTAAGATCTTGACCGAAAGGGGAGTGGGGGTGTGGTACAGTATATGAGCCAAATTGGGGCTGAAAGGTGATTTCACTACACCCGAGTTGATCCAGTCTAGGGCTTGGGTTTGAGATTTCCTGTATGGTCATGGTCTGCTTGGAAGTACATAAGGTTCATGGACCTGACTGTCGGGTGGTTGTTGTATGTAGGTACTCCTACACAGTGCTACTGTTTAAGGGGCACCTATCTTGGTGATGTGTAACTGGCAGTGACAAAAAGCAACCCAAAATAGATCTCTTGATCTTTTGGAAATTTGCTTCCCTCATTGTAGTTTTCTTTCCAGATTGAGGTAGATGTATTTTAATATGCCCTTGACTTAGGTCACTGAGGAATGTTTTTTTCAGTGCATGTCTTGTATGACTGGGGAGGGGAGGGTGTGACAGATCTATAAGGGATTTGTGTTTATTCAGTTTGTTTTGCTCTTGAAAGGATAACCTCAATGTAAACTACATCCACCCCTTTTAGTACCTTATCAGATCACAAAGCAAAGGTTACCTGATGCACAGGAAAGGCTTCTTTCACTTTTAGAACCTGTTTGCTTCCATCTGCTTTTCCTATTGTCAGTTTCAAAAACAAATGATTACTTTCAGTCTTTCCTCCTTCAGAGTTCTTTACTTTTATTGAAAGGCCTTTTTATGCAGTAGTGGTATACCTGACCAATAAGATTGTTTTGTATAGTTCACAAATGCAAGCATTTGCCTGCTGGTGATCGCTAATTTCACCTACAGAAAGCCAGGGTAGAAATAAGATAGCTTCTTGTTATTCTGCATTAAATTTATATTGGAACAAAGATGAGATAATATTTGCATTGCATTTCATGTAACCCTGATTCCATGTTTTTCACATTGACATTTTGGATATAGTAGGAATTATTGTTTTTTATGCAGCCTTAAACTTTCAAATTGACATTCCAAAACTTTTTTTTTAAATCCAGTAAGTTTTCTTCTTGGTTTCTGTGCTTTTAAGAAGATTAATTTATTAGCCATGTAATTGCTTTTATATTGGGCAATTTACATGTCATTTTGGTGTGCAAAATAGTGACCAATTGTCTGTTATTCCATAATAAGTGTCCAGATGGTGTACATTATCTGTTCTTAAAATGTTCTATTTCAAATGAGTAAACTCATACATGTTCAATGTGCAAGCAGAGGAGATTTGGACCTCATTCACAAACCCATGTAGAAGACTGCCCCATACTCTACTGTGTCAATGCTTGCACAATTGCGATGGTTAGCTGAAGACAGGTTTGGCTTAGAAGAAGCCTGGTCACATGCTCTTTGAGCAGCAGGACTACAGAACATGTTTGAAACGTCTTATCTGTGTGTACAGAAGAACTGCTGTAAAATTGGGACCATGTGACAGGAGCTTCTTTTACAGATTATTTTGTTTGTTTTGGAAGGCAAACAGTAATTGCTCTGGATTGGATGAGGAGGGGAGTGTGCCAGAGAAGTCTTTTTTTAATATTCCAAAATGTATAAATGCAAATAAGAAGTCATTTTTTCTTGTTAACTTTTCTGCAGGAAAATGATTATTTAACAAATTACGCCCTGTAGCAGTCAGCTGCAGATGCTCTGCAAGGAGTCTTGATGGCATGTGCAGTGATCTGTGTGTAGATGGGGAAAGCTGTAAACAAACAACTTCTGTTCTAAAACAAACTGCCTCAAAACAAAGAACAAAAGGTAACTGGTGATACAGGGATACAGCGGTAGGCCTGTAGTGGGATCCCAGCAGGTCTGGGAAGCCCAGTAGTGTTGGTAGACCAGTAGGTGGTGCTCTTCCATCAGGACTAGAATTCCTGAACTGTAATGGGTTGTGGGGAGTGCAGTAGGAGGTTCTGTCCTTGCAAATGTTTCAGGGGTTGCACAGTCTAACCAAGTTTCTTTTTTAATCCAGCTGGTGAAGCAATCTCTCCCTTCTCTACCTGCTGTCAGAAGAGGTGTTAGTGGGCCCAGTAGGTGGTGCTCACACTGTCCTAATGCCCTATTATATTGATGGGGA